TCATCTCCTCATTGGAAGCAATATTTCCGAAAAGAAGCGCTGCCAAAGCTACAGCAATTGAACATCTCATGGATTGTAGTCACGCATCACAGCTTTGCCCTTGCTGACTTGCATTTTAGTACTTCCGCCGAAGCACGCTATTTTCTCTGACTTGCTGCTCTCCCCCTCTGCTTCTTGCCTGTTTTTCTACTTTATGTGCACGAGTGCTCCCGCTGCTTTCTGACAGAGTTTGCTTTCCCATGTGCAGCTGTTCGCTGTATGGCAGGGGTGGCCAAGCTGGCGCTTGTTAGGCGCTTATGCAGGGTGTCGAACGACCGGGAAAACCGGGAATCGTCGGGGAAATTTTATTTACTGGGAAAAATGGGGGAATTATCAGGGGTATAGTCAAAAAGTGAGCCCAGTCAGAAAAAATGAGCCGGAAACGCCATTGAGCACCCTGAGCAAGGACTTAAAGGCTTGGGGACAAAAAAATAGGCAATAAATTCTGCTTAGAGCAGAGCGCGGGCTCTGCTCATCCGATGTAGAGTGTGCTACCTGACGCAAAGGGAACAGCCGACAAATTCAGTCCAAGCTTTGGATTAGATTGGATGGAGGGCGCGATACAAGGCTATATTTAGTTAGAGCTACTACTGGGTGATTCAAGGAGCAGCCAGGCTTTTTAAATCGACCGCAAAATTCGGTTTCTTACCCTATCGTGCTATGACTTTGTGCAGCGTTGCCCACAGATGGTGCATTTTTTTTTGTAAAATTTGCAAATAGCGAATTTACCCGAGGAAAAAGTAAAGAAAGAAAAAGGCTTCGCTCCTATGGAAACGCACCGAAGCCACCGGTCTTCAAACAATACGCGTATTGTTTGAAGACCGATGGCTTCGGTTCCATACTAAAAAAAAAATATTTTCAAAGTCAGAGAATTCGAAAATATTAATTTGCTAGACACCCTGCATATGGCTCTTTATGGGCCCGAGGGTGGCTCTCGTGACCTGAGGACTCTTAAATTAAAATAGTTAGGAGGTATCAAATGACTTGGTTCAAAGTTGTGGCTCTAGTCATTCCTAAGCATTAAAAAAACAAAAAAAACAGAGAAGGTCGCCGATAAGGCGGAAACATAATTTAGATATATTACAGTTGCTCATTTCCTTGCAACCTCCCTTCGGCTGAGACGGCAACATTCTTGTCCGAAAAATATTAGAGAAATTGGTAACTGATTTTTCACTTACTACCAGAGGTAGGCATTTTAGGTCGCCCTCACTCACCCTCACCCTCACAGCCACACTCACCTAAGCCCCTCACTCACCCTCAACCTCACAGCTACACTCACCTTCAGCCCCTCACTCACCCTCACCCTCACAGTCACACTCACCTTCAGCCCTTTACTCACCCTCACTGAACCTCACGGTCCTCACGCACTCACCGCCCTCACGGCCGTCACGGCCCTCACGCCCCTCACCGCGCTCACGGCCCTCATGCCCCTCACTCACTCATGGCCCTCACGACACTCACCACCCTCACGCCACTCACCGCCATCACGGCCCTCACGGCCCTCACGCACTCATAGCCCTCACGCCATTCACCGCCCTCACGGCCCTCACGCCACTCACCGCCCTCACGCCACTCACCGCCCTCACGGCCCTCACCGCCCTCACGTCCCTCACCGCCCTCACGGCCCTCACGCCACTCACCGCCCTCAAGCCCCTCACCGCCCATGCGGCCCTCACACCCCTTACGCCCCTCACGCACTCATGGCCCTCACGCCACTCAGGCCAGCTTCGGACGGGGCAATTTCGCCCAGATACTTTACGTCGCAACACCAGCAACACGGGCCACCCGCGATCACACGCAGCAACCAATTGCTGCAATTTGCCATCGTCATCATAAAATTTTATTTTTCTTGCACTATTTAGACAGAATTACGCGTTATAAACGTGTTTTTATGCATTTAAACCTCGTTAAGAATACTAATGCACCTTTCTGAAACCAGTTTATTTCCAAAAAAACGATCGATTTCAAACCAGAACCAAGTCATTCGGTGTCATCATCACCGGCACGAGGTATCACGTGAAAATTTTGCGTCCCTGATTGGATGCAGCCGCTTCAAACGTATTCGAATTGCTCCGAGTTGCTTGCTTATTTCGAGCCGGACCCGATCTCAGCAATTCGTGTCGATCTAGGGAAAGCTAGAGAACAACCCGCCATTAACACCAAAATTGCTGAGAAAGATGCTCGATCTGAAGGGGGCCTCACGCACTCACCGCCCTCACACCACTCACGCACTCATGGCCCTCACGCCACTCACCGCCCTCACGCCCCTCACGCACTCATGACCCTCACCGCCCTCACGGCCCTCACAGCCCTCACGGCCCTCACGGCCCTCACAGCCCTCACGGCCCTCACAGCCCTCACTCACCCTCACACTCATGAATTTTCCTGGTTCAGAAACTCACTCACCCTCACCTCACCTGTGAAGATGAGGGTGAGTGAGGGCCCTCATGAGTGAGGTTTGCCGAGGTATGCTTACTACTGTCTTCGCGCACGCATGTCATTGAAAACCTTTCAAAATATACATGTCTCATTTACTTTCTTCTCATGATGAAAGCATTTCGTTGAAAAATTTAACAGAAATGCTAGTCAGTATGGAACCAAATCAATGTGAAAAAACTCAGAACAAAAGATGATACAGAAAGCATTGTGGATAGGTGACCATTCCCGTAATATCACCCTCCTGCCATGCAACTCCCTAAAAATTAGGAATTTCCCTGCAGCTCAAGGACAGTGTCGTCTGGCAACCCCTCCTGTATGTTTTAAATGGCAGTCATATAGGCATGAAGGTTCAAAACCAAGAGCTCCCACACTTTCTTTGGTGCTTCTTGTACCGTTGCTTATTTGTATTTGTTTTGTGAACATGCATTTTCCTTCTAACTTCTTATTAACTGTTTCTTTTTTTAGAGCGCAGCTCTTAGGGGCCCGTTTCCGGCTTGAGCGGCGTCGCCGTCGGCGTAACCGCGCGGTGCATCATGGGAAATGTCCCATAATGCACCGCGCGAGCCCCCCACCAAGGTCACGTGACCTCGTGGGGGGTCACGTGACCCCCCGAAGTCACGTGACTCCCCTGAGGTCACGTGGCCCCCTCCTCGAGGTCACGTGACCCCCGCCGATGTCGCGTGACCCCCCGATGACGTCATCGTCACTGATGACGTCACCGGCATCCACATCGTCATCGTCATCATCACTGATGACGTCACCGGCATCCACATCGTCATCATCACTGATGACGTCACCGGCATCCACATCGTCATCGTCATCACTGATGACGTCACCGGCATCCGCATCGTCATCATCACTGATGACGTCACCGGCATCCACATCGTCATCATCACTGATGACGTCACCGGCATCCACATCGTCATCGTCACTGATGACGTCACCGGCATCCGCATCGTCATCATCACTGATGACGTCACCGGCATCCACATCGTCATCGTCATCATCACTGATGACGTCACCGGCATCCACATCGTCATCGTCATCATCACTGATGACGTCACCGGCATCCACATCGTCATCATCACTGATGACGTCACCGACATCCGCATTGTCATCCTCATCATCACTGATGACGTCATCAGTGACGTCACTGATGTCGTCACCGGCATCCACATCGTCATCATCACTGATGACGTCATCAGCGACGTCACTGATGACGTCACCGACATTCGCATCGTCATCGTCACTGGTGAAGTCATCAGTGACGTCACTAATGACGTCATCGGTACCCGCATCGTCATCGTCACTGATGACGTCATCAGTGACGTCAGTGATGACATCATCGGCATTGGGGGTCACGTGACCCCCAAGGTAACGTGACCCCCCCCTGGTTAGTTTAACCCCCCCCCCCCAGTGCCCTTCCCTCCTCCTCCTCAAGAGCTGCGCTCTAATTCGGCGTTACAGGGAGTTGTAAGCGGCTTTCATTTTTTTAGTTGTCCATCCCTTGTGTAATGCCCTTTAGGGCCCTCAAGGTACAATAAATAAATTAATTCTTCTGTGGTGGACTTTTGTTGTTTAGGTCTTCATTACAGCATATGCTTTGAGCTAGCCCTATAACCTATTTTGTGATGCAATTTTTTTGGAGGGGCATAGAGAATACTGTAATGTGAGTAGACCTCTTTCACAGTCAACATGCCGCACACATATAGTATGAGGCCATGCGGTGCTGCGGCCGTGTTGGCTTTGGCTGGTACTGTACAATGCTCACTAAAGTAACACAGAATGTGCAAACTTATGGCGAATTCGCGTGGTTCTTTCTGCGCGCTCTCGAGCGCTCTTTCCAGAGCGCGCGAAATCGGGTGGTTGAACGAGAGTGCTGTGGCCTGATCGGGTGGTTCATTCCGAGGGCGCCTCTCCCTCTCAGAGCGCTCTCTGGCACTCCGTCTGTAGCCGTCGGAGTGCGGAGCGGCGCAGGCGTCACGTGGTAGCTTGACGGTGATCACGTGGTTTTGTTGACGATGGCCCAGTCCCAAGCAACCACTGGACATCCATCGGACATCCGATGGATATCCTTTTCGGATATATCGTACATCCGAGGGCCATCCGCGAAAATCCGAAGGACGTCCCGTGGACGTCCGACGGACGTACAAAGGTAAGAGTTTTGTACATCCGGAGGACATCCGAACAGGGATCCTCAGCGGACATACTTTGAATATCGCGCCTGAAAATCCCTAGGGATTAGGGCATTACGTCTAAAGGCCCGTTCACACTCTTGCGACCGAGTAAAACCGAGAGAGACCACACCGGTTTTTAAGCCTCTTGCGATCTCTTAGGACCAGCTCCGCTGCAGCGCATCCGGTCCTAAGAAGTTGCAAAAGGCTTAAAAACCGGTCTGGTCTCTCGGTCGCAAGAGTGTGAACGGCGCTTTATGCTTTACCCTTTACTTGGACAGCTATGAATGTTCAAAATGTCGTACCCTAGCCCGCATGCTGTGCCAATGAAAGACCATGAGCCAAATCTATATTGAAATAAGATGATAATTTTAATAGTATGCATTTTCTCCAGATCTTCTGGTGGCTCCACTCCTCGACAGTCGCCCTTTTTGTCAACTGTGCAATACCTTTCTGCCCTGGAAAGCTCTTCTGCCATATATTTAGCAGCTGTCTTGCTGTTGTCTGACCCATGTCCTAGTCAGACCTTGGAGGGAGTGTCCGTCTGTAAACAAATGAAAGAAATATGCTTTAATTATATTAATTGGACTATATGAATGGCACTTGTGCCTAGAGACTTTTTCAGTATTTTTAGCCTATGTTATCTACCAGATTGGCTGTGTCGTGGAAAAGCAATCTCATGCCTAGCGAGAAAAGCTTAAGATACCAGTGCCGGTAACTATCGCAAATTAACCGGACGAGTGACGAAGTGCTAGTCCTCGGTGGAGGGAGGCCGCTACGGCTCCCCCTCTCCCCCGCCAAGCAAACAAATTGACGAAGGTATGAGTGCATATTCACAACACACTGAAACCTACCTGTAGATGACGGGGAAAAGCTATTCCCTGTCATCTAAAGGGAAGTTTAAGTGTGTTATGAACATATGGTGCAAAATCCAGGCATGGGGAGGTCCCTCTGCACCATGCAGCCGTAAGAAAACAAGTTGACAAAGGCATAAGTGAGGGCAATTATCACATACACTGTCAACGTACCTGTAGCTCACAGCGGCAGACTGGATGTGCTTGACCCAGGTGTGGGGAAACCCCTCTCCACCGTGCAGCCCTAAGAAAACAAGTTGACAAAGGCATAAGTGAGGGCAATTATCACATACACCGTCAACGTACCTGTAGCTCACAGCGGCAGACTGGATGTGCTTGACCCAGGCGTGGGGAAGCCCCTCTCCACCGTGCAGACCTAAGAAAACAAGTTGACAAAGGCATAAGTGAGGGCAATTATCACATACACTGTCAACGTACCTGTAGCTCACAGCGGCAGACTGGATGTGCTTGACCCAGGTGTGGGGAAACCCCTCTCCACCGTGCAGCCCTAAGAAAACAAGTTGACAAAGGCATAAGTGAGGGCAATTATCACATACACCGTCAAGGTACCTGTAGCTCACAGCGGCAGACTGGATGTGCTTGACCCAGGCGTGGGGAAGCCCCTCTCCACCGTGCAGACCTAAGAAAACAAGTTGACAAAGGCATAAGTGAGGGCAATTTTCACGTACACCGTCAACGTACCTGTAGCTCACAGCGGCAGACTGGATGTGCTTGACCCAGGTGTGGGGAAACCCCTCTCCACCGCGCAGCCCTAAGAAAACAAGTTGAGAAAGGCATAAGTGAGGGCAATTTTCACGTACACCGTCAACGTACCTGTAGCTCACAGCGGCAGACTGGATGTGCTTGACCCAGGCGTGGGGAAGCCCCTCTCCACCGTGCAGACTTAAGAAAACAAGTTGACAAAGGCATAAGTGAGGGCAATTTTCACGTACACCTTCAACGTACCTGTAGCTCACAGCGGCAGACTGGATGTGCTTGACCCAGGCGTGGGGAAACCCCTGTGTTGACAAAGGCATAAGTGAGGGCAATTGTCACGTACACTGTCAACGTACCTGTAGCTCACAGCGGCAGACTGGATGTGCTTGACCCAGGCGTGGGGAAACCCCTGTGTTGACAAAGGCATAAGTGAGGGCAATTGTCACGTACACTGTCAACGTACCTGTAGCTCACAGCGGCAGACTGGATGTGCTTGACCCAGGCGTGGGGAAACCCCTGTGTTGACAAAGGCATAAGTGAGGGCAATTGTCACGTACACTGTCAGCGTACCTGTAGCTCACAGCGGCAGACTGGATGTGCTTGACCCAGGCGTGGGGAAACCCCTGTGTTGACAAAGGCATAAGTGAGGGCAATTGTCACGTACACTGTCAACGTACCTGTAGCTCACAGCGGCAGACTGGATGTGCTTGACCCAGGCGTGGGGAAGCCCCTCTCCACCGTGCAGACCTAAGAAAACAAGTTGACAAAGGCATAAGTGAGGGCAATTTTCACGTACACCGTCAACGTACCTGTAGCTCACAGCGGCAGACTGGATGTGCTTGACCCAGGTGTGGGGAAACCCCTCTCCACCGCGCAGCCCTAAGAAAACAAGTTGAGAAAGGCATAAGTGAGGGCAATTTTCACGTACACCGTCAACGTACCTGTAGCTCACAGCGGCAGACTGGATGTGCTTGACCCAGGCGTGGGGAAGCCCCTCTCCACCGTGCAGACTTAAGAAAACAAGTTGACAAAGGCATAAGTGAGGGCAATTTTCACGTACACCTTCAACGTACCTGTAGCTCACAGCGGCAGACTGGATGTGCTTGACCCAGGCGTGGGGAAACCCCTGTGTTGACAAAGGCATAAGTGAGGGCAATTGTCACGTACACTGTCAACGTACCTGTAGCTCACAGCGGCAGACTGGATGTGCTTGACCCAGGCGTGGGGAAACCCCTGTGTTGACAAAGGCATAAGTGAGGGCAATTGTCATGTACACTGTCAACGTACCTGTAGCTCACAGCGGCAGACTGGATGTGCTTGACCCAGGCGTGGGGAAACCCCTGTGTTGACAAAGGCATAAGTGAGGGCAATTGTCACGTACACTGTCAACGTACCTGTAGCTCACAGCGGCAGACTGGATGTGCTTGACCCAGGCGTGGGGAAACCCCTGTGTTGACAAAGGCATAAGTGAGGGCAATTGTCACGTACACTGTCAACGTACCTGTAGCTCACAGCGGCAGACTGGATGTGCTTGACCCAGGCGTGGGGAAACCCCTGTGTTGACAAAGGCATAAGTGAGGGCAATTGTCACGTACACTCTCAACGTACCTGTAGCTCACAGCGGCAGACTGGATGTGCTTGACCCAGGCGTGGGGAAGCCCCTCTCCACCGTGCAGACTTAAGAAAACAAGTTGACAAAGGCATAAGTGAGGGCAATTTTCACGTACACCTTCAACGTACCTGTAGCTCACAGCGGCAGACTGGATGTGCTTGACCCAGGCGTGGGGAAACCCCTGTGTTGACAAAGGCATAAGTGAGGGCAATTGTCACGTACACTGTCAACGTACCTGTAGCTCACAGCGGCAGACTGGATGTGCTTGACCCAGGCGTGGGGAAACCCCTGTGTTGACAAAGGCATAAGTGAGGGCAATTGTCACGTACACTGTCAACGTACCTGTAGCTCACAGCGGCAGACTGGATGTGCTTGACCCAGGCGTGGGGAAACCCCTGTGTTGACAAAGGCATAAGTGAGGGCAATTGTCACGTACACTGTCAACGTACCTGTAGCTCACAGCGGCAGACTGGATGTGCTTGACCCAGGCGTGGGGAAACCCCTGTGTTGACAAAGGCATAAGTGAGGGCAATTGTCACGCACACTGTCAACGTACCTGTAGCTCACAGCGGCAGAGTGGATGTGCTTGACCCAGGCGTGGGGAAACCCCTGTGTTGACAAAGGCATAAGTGAGGGCAATTGTCACGTACACTCTCAACGTACCTGTAGCTCACAGCGGCAGACTGGATGTGCTTGACCCAGGCGTGGGGAAGCCCCTCTCCACCGTGCAGACTTAAGAAAACAAGTTGACAAAGGCATAAGTGAGGGCAATTTTCACGTACACCTTCAACGTACCTGTAGCTCACAGCGGCAGACTGGATGTGCTTGACCCAGGCGTGGGGAAACCCCTGTGTTGACAAAGGCATAAGTGAGGGCAATTGTCACGCACACTGTCAACGTACCTGTAGCTCACAGCGGCAGACTGGATGTGCTTGACCCAGGCGTGGGGAAACCCCTGTGTTGACAAAGGCATAAGTGAGGGCAATTGTCACGTACACTGTCAACGTACCTGTAGCTCACAGCGGCAGACTGGATGTGCTTGACCCAGGCGTGGGGAAACCCCTGTGTTGACAAAGGCATAAGTGAGGGCAATTGTCACGTACACTGTCAACGTACCTGTAGCTCACAGCGGCAGACTGGATGTGCTTGACCCAGGCGTGGGGAAGCCCCTCTCCACCGTGCAGACTTAAGAAAACAAGTTGACAAAGGCATAAGTGAGGGCAATTTTCACGTACACCGTCAACGTACCTGTAGCTCACAGCGGCAGACTGGATGTGCTTGACCCAGGCGTGGGGAAACCCCTGTGTTGACAAAGGCATAAGTGAGGGCAATTGTCACGTACACTGTCAACGTACCTGTAGCTCACAGCGGCAGACTGGATGTGCTTGACCCAGGCGTGGGGAAGCCCCTCTCCACCGTGCAGACCTAAGAAAACAAGTTGACAAAGGCATGAGTGCGTGCAATTTTCCCGTACACCGTCAACGTACCTGTAGCTCACAGTCGCAGACTGGATGTGCTTCCAGCCAGACAGGAACGGGCGAAGACGGAAAAAACAAAGCGTGGTACGGATGATATGCGCGAAATAACGAAGCGGTTCAGAATGAGACTAAACTAACTTTCCCAAAAATAGAAACAAGTAGGCCGTTCAACTATAGGTGAACGAAAGTTGTGAAACGCTAGCCAACATCTGTACTAGTCCTTTAGGACGCTACTTACGAAAACACGAACGGAATGAATTTCGAGTAACACAAAAAGAGAGGGGGATGGAAAAAAAGGACGTGGTATGGAAAGCAAGTACTAACCCGAAATGGACAACTCAAGCAGATAGTTCAACTAGACGAAAAGTTCTTCTGGAACATTGTCCAACGTGAGTACTGCCACACACGCACCATACTACTTAAAACAGAAATAAAAATATTTTAGTAACACCGTTGTATAACCGTTGACACGCGACAGCAACAACGTGGACACGGAAGAAACAAAGAAAAAGAACAAAACTCGAAAATCGGGTTGCCAGCCGAGACAGGTGAGGTCGCGAAGCTGGCTATACCGATCAGTGGTTAGTCGGTATATGATTCAATAAGAATATACTTCTCGCTACTTTTCTTGTTTGTTGTTAAAAATTAGGCATAATTATTTTACTGCTTGTTGCCGAGCGTGTTGGTGTAAACTGCAATTCATGAAATCAACGTAGGATAACACCAAGGATGACACCGACGGTACGACTGTGCTGTTATAATTTGTCTGTGGAGATTTGTTTAAATTGATAAGTCACCAAACTAATGTATGAATAAAACAAACGCTACCAATTTATTTATTTATTGATGTTTAACCCCGACGTCATGTAGTTTTCAACTTTTCTAGGTGCCGCTAGTGTCACATATCCGTTAAAATCCATAGCCAACGAAATCCATCGATATTTGTGCATTGTCGGCTCTAGGAGCGCGTGGTTTGGACTCTGGTGTTACCACGACCGGGTTTTACGTTTTACTGTCGGTGAAAGCGACGGTACCGTGAAACCGCCGCCATTTCAGCAGCTCAAGGTAAATGTTTAGCTTTTGCATAACTTTTTAGATCCGGTTAGTGTTGATGACTTTCTCACATCAGTTTTTCTGTTCATTTTCAGGGATGTATGCAATTGTGGAATTTAGGCTAACCCAAGAGGTGGAGATCGTGCCTTACACGTGGGTCACGGGAAACAACTGTTTATGGCCGAAGGTGTCCACCGATAAGGCTGTCAAGCTAGTGCGAAAGGGGGGGCCACCAGGACCAGGGTTTTCTGAGTTCGAGGTGACTGTGAAAGGACTATTCAGTGAGTATATTGCATCTCTTCATGCGTGCAGCAGTGTTCATTAATTGTAAGTATTTTTTTCTTATGTGACTACAGATTCCTACGAAGAAGGGCGATCTAAGTTGGAGCGGTCGCGGTTCACATCTGATCTCTCGGACGAGGAGATACGCCCAAAGCGTAGGAGATTTCGCCCCACACGCTGGAGCGAGTCCGACTCAAGCTCGGATGAATTCCCGGAAGCCCCGATGCCGCTCTGCGCACGGCAGAACTCGCGTAACGCTATTTGATTTTTATTTTGTTCTGCAGCTGACAGCCTTGTTGACCGTTGCAACTGTTTCTTAACCTTTAGCTTAGAATTCGAACCTGGCATTTGATAAGTCTAGGGTGTGTCGTCAGACGTACTTGATCTGTCGTTTTACGTAAACAATGTGCTTATATAGGGGGTTGGGGCACAACTGCATTTTTTATATTTTGGGAGATCAATTTGTACTTTTTTCATCTTACAATTTGAGGTTTTCTGGTCGCTTTTCACAGCCAGTAGCCAGAGACTGGAATCACAGAGTGCGAGCCCGGCAAGATCAATACACAGTGAAATGTCGCAAGCTGCACTAATGCGAGGTACAGTTTCTCCTGAAAACCACTTATATTGTTTTTCGCTTTTTGTATTCTAATGTTACCAATTCCCAACTTAATCAGACATCTCCAAACAGGTGCTAGTGGTTCGTCCCAGTCGTCTAGCACTTCGATAAACACGCTGGCTCCCAGTCCACAAGATAAAGGTAGCTATAGGGTGTTTTCACTGACGTAATTTCGTCCACCATTTTGTTGTTGTGAGCTGTCTGGCGTGTGCCAAACTCGAGCATTCCAAGGATTGACACGCCCCCTCAAATGCGTAGAGCACCGCTGACATCATCTCAACCGGTTACGATGTAATCCTTCAATGTAGTAAATTTGTGTGAAAAAACAAGCTAACAACAAAATGCCAAATTGACGTTATGTGCGAACAACCTATAATGTATGGCCATTTTACAAATGAGGGGCTATGCACATATTGCTGCAAGTTGAGGTGCAAAGCTTGCAGAACCAATTAACTTTAATTTCATTTCCGTGTGAGCGCTGAAGTTTTATATTTAATCAAATTTGGGCAAGCAAATATATGGAGCACCATGCCACCAAAAACAAGGTGGCTTTCTTCACATCTAGGAACCTAAATATGAGAAAAATCCATGTCACCATGTACCCTTCTTGCATGTAGCCCCTTCAATTGTCTTTATCTTCGCAGGTGCCTGTGGTTCGTTCCAGACACCTAAAACGTCAACAAGGACACCGGCTCCCAGTTCACGAAATAAAGGTACATTGCATGATCGTTTTACAAATAAAGAGCTACGCACACTAGCAGTGCAAATTCAAATGCAAAGCTTGCAAAAACAATCGCCATCTCTTTCATATCTTTCTGGGTGAAGTTTTATATTTAATCAAATTTGAGCAAGCAAATGTATGGAGCACCATACCGCCACAAACGAAGTGACTTTTTCACATCTGGAAACTTTTCGGTAGGCTTTTAGCATATTAAATAAAGTGAACTCTCCAGAGGTGGATATTTTTTTGCCTGGAAGTCCTAGCGTGCGAGCCCTGCTCAAGGTATACATTGATTGTATGTTTTCCTTTCTGTTTTTTAAACAACAGATATGGGGGCAACAGGTTTCTGCGCTGTATGTTTTCCACTGTCGGAGGTCACATTCTGTTGATATTACATATGTAAATTTTTTTCCTACTTTTTTAGGCATGTTTTTTAATTTTGTATTCTGTGTCATTTGAGCTCTTGCATGTATGCATGGTGCACCCTCCTGTAGGCCCACGGGCTCTTGAAGGGCAGTTCAGAAGTACCAAATAAATAAATAACATAAATAAATATGAGAAGCAATCCAAGTCACCTTGTACCCTTATTGCATCTAGCGCCTGCAGTTGTCTTTATCTTCGTAGATGCCAGTGGTTTTTCAACCGCATCTCAAACATTGACAAGGATGTCGGCTCCCAGTCGATTAGATCAAGGTACTTAACTGCAGAATTGTGTTGCAGCTGCGTATTAAGATATTTTGTGTGTCCTTCATTAAATTTTTTCAGCACTGCAGGCTATGCAACACATGACGCCTAGCACCAGTGCTTCGACCTGCGGTAAGCTAATTTGATTTCAATTGTTTTTCTTTCACAGCATGGTTGCACAACTTTGAATAGTTTTGAAATGGCTAAGCTCTTGACTTTTTGCCATCTTTTTTTTTTCTTTTTAGCTGATCTGCGGGCCACTGCTAGGATCTTGAGTGCTGCTGGTAAGTAGGATGTTGTCTCCTGCCTGCACTAATTTTATTTGCCAATATTTATTTCAAGCCTTTTCTTTGCATGCAGAGTTTCAGCGACGGGTGCTGAATGGGATGAGCGTCATGAGGAGCCAGCAGACGGAGATAATGGACATGATTTCGACATTGCTACGAGCGCGTGAGTTTCGTTGTAGAGCCCAGCCAGCCGATCCTCGTTGATCCCCTCGACACTCCTGAAGCAATTGAGGTGTTTGATGGCGCTCTTACAGATGCCACGAGTGAGGCTTTGGTAAGCAATTGCTGTTATCAATGCCTGCCCATACTCTAGTTTTTGTCACTTACTGAGGCAAGTATTGGTGTTTGCATTCTCTAGGCTTTGCTGTTATGTCTTATCCCTAGTGTGCAGCTAAGGTTAAGACATGCAGATAACAAATAAGCTAGGAGCAAGCTGTGATTTTAAATCGAGATGCATCGAAGGGGTGAGACTGCCTGTTCTCTGGTAAGCAACAAAGGTGTTTGTAATGGTGCTATACTTTAGCATTATTTCATGAGTGTAGAGCAAGCTCTGACTACTTCCGTATTTCTTCAAATGGCAACTCTGTCCCACAGTTCCAGATCTTAGAGCATGGGAAATGACTAATGAGATAGAACAATGACTAGGAGGTGTAAACAACTGCCCAAATAAAATAAAATTTGGGCCCTCACATTCATTCAATCTTTCTCAAGGTATCACCAGTTCACTCATACTGGCCTCGGAGATAAAGAGGGGGTGTGAATTGGCTAATTGTAAAGCCTAGCCCAGTTAATACAAGCTGTAAACCCATTCATGCTCAGGTTCTTTCTATCCAGCTAACCTTGAATGCCAAACGTTTTTGGCTATACTTGCTTTCTGGGTATCGTAATGCTCCTTATGTCATGTCTTACGTTCCCCAGGCACCAGCCCCACGTTTTATGTGCTCAAACACGGCATTGGCATTTTGCATGGACAGTGAATTGAGGATTGCATTTTCTTATAACCAAGGTTATTGCCCCAAGATGAACCCTTTCCATGATATAAGTAGCTTTGGGGATAGCGTTTCACTGGTCAGAGTAAAACAGCGAAAACTGGCTATGTCTTGTTCGTATTAACTGTGTCGTGCTCTGTACGTTCCTTCCAGGTTGTGGAGCTGACCTCCCTTGGGGACCTGTCTATCAAAACAACTGTAAGGTCTATGCTTGCACACCTGATTAGTGACGAAGCTGCAGCCAAGTTCAGCATGGATGGGCGCAAAGGGAAGAAGGTTTTCCGTAGCCTTAAGCTGTACAAATTGATCTTTGGTAAGTAGAAGTTTGCAACGCAATTCCCTGCCTTTTTAAGTTGTACTATAAGGGTCATCTATTGCTTTCAGCTGCTATAAAGCGGACAAAGCACTGCAAAGAGTCTACGAAAAAAGAGGTGGAAACGGAAGTCAAGGAGTGGCTTCGCCGCGCAAAGGAGAGGTGCACCACTTCTAAGGGAGAGTAGGCATCTACCTTCAAGTGTGAGAAAGGTGCCTCTGCCCTGGTTCTGATTGCAAATAAAAAACTATTTTGCTGTCTAACATCCTTGTTTCCTTCTAGCTTACGAAACATAAGGCCAACTGGCACTGCGACATCACTACGTAAAATGTAATCAAATGATTGCAAAATTACTTTAAAAAGTAGTACACATGCATCACAATTCATTTGATTACTTGTAGTCGAGAACATACAATACTGTTTTTCTTTTTACCGCACACAGTATCAGCTTGAAAGGAGCTTACAATTCTAAGGTTCTAGGCCTCTATTAATAAACCTTCGGACAACACTTGAAAAAAAAAAACGAATTACCGATGTGTCCACCTCTTTTTTTCCCCGTCATACCTATTGAATGATCTTGGAGACCCCAGAAAGCATCTATTGCGCCCCTCAAACCCTTAGCAAATCCTAGAGGGCCCATCAGACTTTGCAGAAAATTGTGATGGGCCCCTATGGAACTTCAGGAAATACTGTGATGGGACCTCTTAAGACCTCAGGAAATCTTGAAGGGGCCATCAAATCTGTCAAAGAATCTTGGGGGGGGGGGGGGGCCTCAAACCTATCTTCATTAGGGAAAGGTATATCCTCTGCACAAAAAGGTTCTGTTATGATAATCGTTTAGTGCAGAATGGAACCACTTTTAAGTAACTGTTTTTGAATGGTTTCCCAATACCTATTGGGATATGTTCGAACATCCACAAATGGACAGCCCTCGGACATCCATTTCTGTATATCCACAGGACGTCCACTATTAGTCCGAATTTGGACGTACGGAAACGGATGTCCAGTGTACGTCCGACGGACGTCCTTCCCTGGCAATGGATATTCGGCTCTTGTTCGGACGTCCGACGGACATACGTGGTTGCTTGGGAGTGGTGTGAACTTAGCGA